CAGCAGAGTTAGCCTGCTCTGCTCTTCAGGAACAGCCAGACTGGGACATCAAGGTATTTTCATATATTTCATCTTAATTAAATGCTTCCCTTTGGGTGAAATATGCATAAAATAAAGGATTTTGCTGTGTGTTTTAGGTGTCCATCAGGCCAAAAGCATCGGAAGATGGTGCTCCACCTGAATCATTAGCCTCATCAGTTACACAGTAAGCACTTACTGACACCAGCACTATATTATAAATATATAAAAAGAGCATAGCATGCTAACAATGCCCCTCTTCTTCTCCCTAAGGGAGTCCATTGAGTCCTCATTGCAGGGCCTGACTACAGATCAGGTTTGTCATTTCTCATAATATTTAGTAAAAAACTATGATACTGAAAGATTAAACGACATTTATAAAAGCCTACTAAATTTAAAAAAAAAAGAAATGCGACACCAGTGAGTATCATTAATCTTCTCTCATCAATGGAAAGATGCGAAGTTGGTGTTATATTCAGAGTCAGGACTTTTCCACATTTAAAATCTATAAAATATCTTCACTTTATTCCCTAACAATGCTGTTGAAAATGAGAGCATTGAAAACAATACAAGGAACACATCAACTGAGTCAAGGTATGAAAAGCCTTTGGTGCAAGGCTTTAATATAAATGATGTACAATCATGTGCAAGACACTGCTTTTCACCTTCATGCCTAAACAACTTTGTATTTGCCTGCAGATTTTTTTCAGACTTCAACTCTATAGAGCATCTCTTGCTGCAATACTAGGCCGGATTGTTAACTTTACTCCTGTTTTAGGTCTCATCATTGTTGCTGATGTGACCTACAACAGTTGTGTCATCTGCAAATTTGATGAATAAGTTGGATCTATGTGATGGTGTGCAGTCGTGCATCAGCAGAGTGAAGAGAAGGGGGCTCACCACACATCCTTAAGGAACCCCAGTGTTCAGTGTTCTAGTGCTGGAAGTGTTGCTGCCGACCCGTACTGTCTGCTGTCTTCCTGTCAGGAAACCCAGCAGCCAGTTACACAGCGAGGTGGTGATGCCCAGCAGATCCAGTTTGTGAATGAATTTATGGGGAATGTTGAATGCTGAACTGAAGTCTATGAACAGCATTGTAATGTATGAGTCTTTAGTGTCCAGATGTGTGAGGGCTGAGTGAAGGGCAGATGAAATTGCATCATTGGTCAAGTGGTTTGACCGGTATGCGAACTGGTATGGATCCAGGTTGGGGGGAAGAGAGGTCTTGATTTGATGCATGAGTAACCTTTCAAAGCACTTCATAATGATGGAGGTGAGTGCGACAGGATGGTAGTCGTTAAAGACAACTTCTTTGGTACAGTAATGATGGTGGAGGCTTTGAGGCAACCACAACCTGGCTCAGTGATGTATTAAAGATGTCTGTGAAGACATCTGTGAGATCTGCAGCGCAGTCTCTCAGTGCTTGTCCAGGGATGTTACCAGGACCAGGGGCTTTGTGGGTATTGATCCCGCCAAGGGATCTCCTCACACTGTCTGGGGATAGTGTCACCACCCAGTTGTTGGAGGGAGGAGTCTTCTGTGCAGGGGCGGAGAGAGAGTCTTCTGTGCAGGGGTGTAGCTCTGTGCCTCAAAGCGAGCGAAGAATTGGTTTAGTTTTGCCTAACTAGAACATGCTTGAGAGAAATGAAAAACCAACCTGGGGCAATTGTCTCTCTGATGTATTTCTTGGTATCTTGACAGAGAAACAATGCAGCAGAAGCTTCAGTTCAGACGGTTCCTAGCTCTGAGGACACCAGCTTTACAGAGACAGATTTCAAAAGTCTTGTCAACCGCTATTGTCAGAAAACCAAACGTTCCCATTCATATGTTGAAGTGAAGAAAGATGGCCCGTCTCACGTTCCTCAGTGAGTATACGTCAAACTCTGTCCTTTCAGTTGAATCTTCAGACACCAACACCGGACTGATGTTCAACAATATTAAACTGTCAATGTAATGATCTAAAACATTCCCATTTTTTCACAACACAGTTTTTTCTACAAATTAATAATTGACGACAAGGAATATCCTGTGGGTGATGGGAATAGCATCAAGGAAGCCCAACAGAAAGCAGCAGAGTTAGCCTGCTCTGCTCTTCAGGAACAGCCAGACTGGGACATCAAGGTATTTTCATATATTTCATCTTAATTAAATGCTTCCCTTTGGGTGAAATATGCATAAAATAAAGGATTTTGCTGTGTGTTTTAGGTGTCCATCAGGCCAACAGCATCGGAAGATGGTGCTCCACCTGAATCCTTAGCCTCATCAGTTACACAGTAAGGCACTTACTGACACCAGCACTATATTATAACTATATAAAAATCCTTGCAGCACTGTGTACAGTGCAGGCTATGAAGTAATTGTATCATCTTTTTCTAGGAACAACAGTGAATCATCTTCACAAAACACCAGATTTGGCCTGGCGTCAAAAGGCAGAGGTTCCTCGAAGAGTTTTCAGTGACTTTTACCAAAGAGGTAAATTACCATATTCATACTGTGCTTAAATTTCGACAGGATGGTCATCAGCAGAGTAGTGCTAAAACTTAGATTAATTGGTTTACACAGTTATAAAAGATCTTGTTTGATCGCTGAGTTGTCTGGACACAACATATGCATTTTTTAAAATATATTTATTATTTATCAGAGGTTTCACTGCACAAGACATTACACATACACCGTGTTTTTTCTTGTTTTTAAACAGAAGCAAATTATTAACTCATTGCTGTCTGAGAAACCAGAAGACCGACCTGATGCAAGTGCCGTAAAGGAAAAGCTTGAAGCGTGGACTCAGATATTCAGCACACAAAAAGCATCTCGCCAGGAAAATCAAACTGTCTGATAGTCACAAGAGAAAAGTTTCAAAAGTCACAGGAGCCTTTACAAATCTGTCTTGTTGCATCTGCTTAATGAAATAATTTGATGTACTGTGTAATATTATGTTGGGTAACTGTTAATGTGCAAAGTTAATATATGGAAGAGGTCACATCATGAATCCCAGCTATTTTGGGGAAGTTTGTATTGGATTTGGAAATGAAATGTGAAATCATGATTTTAAAATCTAACTATTCAAATCAGTTTCCCGGTGTAGGTCGTCACTTTGTAACTGTTGTTAATCTGCTGCTGTCCTGAGGAGGAGGAACTGTGATGCTACGTGTACTTCTGATGGATTCATGTTGAATGTCAGAGATGAAAAAAGCACACTCCATGTGGCTCAATTTTAGAAACTTTCCTAAATGTTTTCAATCATTTTTAACCCATGAAATACAGTTTAACATATTTTTCTTCCATTTTTTATTTTGTTTATTTTAATCTGATTGATTGCAATATCAGTCAGCTACGTGTGATTTGGAACAGCAGGAGAAAGGTCATTAATACTGTACTAGAGGGAATAAAATAATGAAGGGTGTATAAGAAACTGAACTGGTAAATGTCTCTCATTTAGCTCTGATTTTTCTTGCAGAAGCACTTGGTATATAATAATTAGTGTTGGGCAAGTTACTTTGAAAAAGCACTTAATTATAGTTTCTAGTTCTTTAAAAAAGTAAGTGAGTTAGTAACTGAGTTACAATATTCTAAAAGTAATTAATTACTTGAAAAGTAACTATTGCGTTACTTTAAAAAACGTTTAACCCTCTGGGGCCCAGGGTATAATTTGCCATTTTTAACTACTTTTGATTTTCCCTCCACATTTTACCTTTAAAAACTATTTACTTTGCCTTGTTTGGTATCATCCTTTCAGCAGAACATCACATGTCTATATTTACAGTTATGTTTTCATTTTGACATACTGTAGTAACACAATTGATCTAAAATCAGACAAAAACATAAAATCAGAGTAGAAAAAGTTATATTTTTTACTGTAATAACCACAAACATGTTTAATGAATCATATTTCATAACTTTAAATGCAAATATAAATTGTCAATTTTAAAATCATATGCACAAGTTTTGCAAACAACAGTTATTTGCATCCATTTAACTTTTACCTTGACTTTTTAAATAATCATTTCAAACTATTTACAGAACAATCCGCTGTTCTGCATTCAGTAAGATGCCACACAAATTATTTGTGCCACTCCAAAAAAGTACTTTCTGTCCACTATAAAGGAGAAAATCACAGCCTGATATCTGCAGGTCTGACAACAGCAGGTGTATCACTCCTGTTTCTACCAGGAGACAGCAGTGATAATAATTACCAAAGATTTTCGTTTTTGGTATTTAAATAATGAGCAGAGTGGCAGCAAGAATAAACTCAGTCATGCATTTTTGATAACTGGCAATGAGTCACATAACTGCAGAGGAATTTTGACCCATTCTTCAATGCAGTGTTATTTTAATTCAGACACATTGGAGGGTTTTCGACTATGAACGGCCTGTTTAAGATTGTACCACAGCATCTCAGTCTGATTTAAGTCTGGACTTTGACTGGACCACTCCAAAACTTACCTTTTGTTATTTTATGACCATTCAGAGGTGGACTTGCTGGTGTGCTTTGGATGACTGTCCCATTGCACAATCCAAATGTGCTTGAGCTTTGGGGCACGAAATGATGGCCAGACATTGTCCTTTAGGATTTACTGATTGTGATGGCCAAACCCATGGTCACACTCTAAAAGTCGGTAACTCTTATGTATTCTTTATTTTTTCATTTAAAATAACACACTTAAGTTTGCACTAAGATTGTTGATTGGTTTAAATACCTTGGTTCTATTTGTAAGCGCGCACATTTATTTTACTTATGTATTCATAACATTCCATTACTTTTGGTTTTATTTGTGACTGATCTATTTCTTTTACCTGTTTCTTACCTGCCATCATTCCTGGGAGCTGCCAGAAAAAAAGATTGTGGCCAGGGTTTAAAGCAGTTATATACAAAGAGGGGATGGTTGGACCACACCACCACTTTCTGCTGAAGGGGGAAGAATGTGTATTTTCTTTCATTTAAAAAAAAAAAAGCCTTTGTATTTAACTAAATATTTGAGTTTAGGTTTAGTGGTTTTGATTTTCTTCTTTGGTGTTTAGGTTATTAACAGACTGGACTGTGCTCCGTTGTTTTTGTTATTTTCGATTGGTTTTTGTTTAGTTGTGTGTTGTGTCATAGTGGTCTGATCAGCCATTACCCTTGTATTTCATTTCTTGCTTTATGTCCGTATGTTTGTTTGGGCAGTCGTTGAGTTTAACTTCACATTTCTTTGCCTGAGTTTAGTTTTGTTTCTTTGACCTCTTTTATGAGCTCAACATCTATTGTTTGTTAATATAATATTTCTGGTTAAATAAACGAAAACCCTCTTTTTCTTAGAATTCCTGTGACGACTCCTGCTTTTTCAACTCGGTCCATCGCACTGATATAGAGCAGAATTCACAAGTCATCCTGGAGCAGCAAAGCAGCCAGACCATCACACAACCACCACAATGTTTGACTAATGTTAAATTTGTTTGATCTTAAATATTTAGTTGTGACAAATATTCAAAACACTGAGAAGTCAGGAAAAGGGCAGATACTTTTTAAAGCACTTTATATTTACTCTGGTCAGCAGACAGTAATGAGAGAAACCTTAAAGCCACTTATGGAATATCCTTTCCTTTACCACCCTGATAGCATGATGGCATCACAAACCTATCAATAAAACAGGAAAACTACTGCAGGAATTTCATTTAGCAAGCAGAAGCAAATAAGTAGGTTAAAGTGATCAAACCTGGCCTGCAGTCATTAAGATGAGCTCACAGAAACACCAAAGACCAAAACATAGTGTAATATTCTTGGTTAGACTAGTAGAAGTGATCAGGAAGGAAGGACATGGATACATGTTTTATTTTAAACAGCAGAGCATAACAGTAACCAACTTTTTCCTTACTCATCAGGGATCATTTAAGGATTTGTGCTGAGCTCTCTGCTGAGATCTTTCATGATGTTCATGATGCAGGTTTTCCAGTATTGGTGGAATGATGACTTTTTGTCCCCAAAGAATAAATCTTTTTTCTGCTGACAGCTGTTGTCTGCGTACAAAATAAGGCTTAAGTGCTTTATCTTTCCCACCGCCGTAGGGTGATGCATCACAAACTAACTTCAATGGCAGATTTGTGCTGTAATGCACCAACATTTTGTTTTGCAGCAGTAGACTTTTTGCATTTTTAAATGCCTTTGCACATTCCATGGTCCAAAACCATTTAGCATGTTTTTCTCAACAGGTTATGCAAAGGTTGAAGAATCGTGGGTGGATTTTCCAGAAATTCACTGGAGTAATTTAGAAGACCCAAGAAAGACTTCAGTTCAGTGACATTTGTTGATTC